GACATGCTGAACTTTGGGTCGAAAGTGTTCGCGATGAACACTTTCAACACTTACTGTGTAAACTCTTGAATGGACAGTATTTGCCTCTTTTAAGTGAAACTATAACAGAAATTTACCTTTCTGTATCCCCACGGGACTTCCTTTATCCTGACCATTTGGTACTTTTGAAGCAAAACTTTACCCTTAAATTGAATGGCATCCACAATCCTAACAAAGCACTCGTGAGACTCACCTATTTCTCCCCCCCCCCTCCCTCCCCCTCATTACTAATGGTCCCTATGATCTTCATTCAGCTGACTTGAGTAGTTAGTATGATTAAGGGGTAAAATTGTCATTGGTAATTTGTTGTGACAGATTGCACTTTCCTCCTTTAAAATTATTATATATGCAGACACACTGATGCCGGCAGGCCACCAAATGAAACCTATCAATAGCGCTGTGGATACCCTCGTGCAGGGGACGAGTAAGTACCTCACAGTCTGCCAATAAACACACAACATTATTATTTTTTGTTCATAAAATTGGCAAGTTTGGTGGTAACTGGAGTAATGGATATAACTGAAACTGGGAGTGGGTCTGGCTAGGGAATCTGGTGTTTTGCGTTGATGATGAACAACTCTTGTTTCCCTCTCTCCCTCTAGATGATACTTATGGGATGGCTCAACAAGCTGTCAGTGGAACTGCCAATCGTGTTGGATCTAGTGCAGTAAATACTACGGGTAAGTTAAGCCCAACCCTACCCCCACCTCCCCTTTCAAAGTGGGCGTTTTGAAGCTTTATTGCATAAAATAAGGGTTTTATTGAAATGTCAATAACCCCCCCCCCCAAAAAAAAAGGATTTTCCATTACTATCTCTGATATTGTTTGGATGTCACTGATAATTATGATAATCGCTCCCAATATTTTTTTAATTAAAAGCTAATGCAATTGGTAAGGCAAGAAGGTTGAATGACGGAAACGAGTCTCCCTACGATGACCTTGATGGCAGTAAGTCAAAATCAATCAGTATGCTACACCATTTTTTTTCTGCCTTTGGTGTCAAAAACTGATGAATATTTTTTACTTTTTTTCTGTTCAGAATGCGAATCTTCCGATTACAAATACAATCGACCAACGTATTCCGATTACACAGATCGCAATTATTTACCTGAAAAGTCAAATAGCAGAGGCAATTTAGAAACTTGAATTTAAAACCAGAATATTTTAAATAGTTTTAACGACTTCGAAATGTATTTTTTGTGTTATTTTAGGAGATGTTTCAATGAATTGTGACTGCTACGCCACAAAAGGCGGCTTTGAGTCCTCCCAGAGTAGAAGGACTGGGAATAGAACTACGGAAAGTTACGAAAATAACGACAACAGGAACTACGGTATTTCAAATTGTTACGATTTTCAAAATATGCCGATTAAATTTACTTCAAATGTCAAACAATGATTGTCATTATCTAATGGTTACAATTTAATTTAGCATCACAATAAATTGTAGAAAATGGAGATAAAAGGATTAAGTAAACTTAGTTAAAATCCCTGTTTTTATTAAAGAATAAACATTCATAATATTACTTATTCTAAACGAAATTGAACCAGATATCGTCAGACTTGTGACATATTAAAGTATATCACTTCGTTTAGGTTGCTAACTTAAATTTTGGTGAGTAAAATAATAATTATAAAAAGTAATCTCGTGACGTTTATTTAAGTATTGCAACATAGCACAAATGTATAAGATGAAGCGTCAGGAGTGTGGTTGCAATAATGGTGTTAGTATAGACCATTTATACCGGAATTTACAGTTGTGGGGTAATTAAGAAAAGCTTTCTTTTTCAATCCTAAAATTATTTCCTTTCAGAACTGAGAATGGGCAATCGTGATAATGAGAGGGGATTCAAAGAGGACTACCGTAATTGTGACATTATTGAATTATTCCAAATGATATGTTCTGAAGACACCTAAAATTGTTTTAAATTGATTCAGGACCACAAATTGGGCGTTCAGAGGGGCGTTTCCGTTACTCTGATCGTCGTAAAGATGACTTTGACGCTGGAATGCATGTTCAAAAGGGGAGATGTAAAGACAGCGATGGTATGTGGAAAGTGTTATAATTTAAGAAATTCACTAACTTGTCTTATAATGCCAAATTCATTTCAATCTTCAGCTCCGAGTCTAGATGGTGAAAAGTTAAACCAATTAATAGAACTCATTAACCAAATGCCAAGTAACTCAAATAAATTTTCCCTTAATTAACACTAAATGATAAGATGATTGTCAATTTTTGTTTTAAACCGCAGGTCGAAGGAACAAAAGCCGACCAGATGAAGCCCAAATGGAATGTAACTTAAGAGAGAACGAGGAAAGTGAGTGGAAAGTCTTTTCTTGAAACTACTCATCAATAAGCAAAAAAACCCATCATGTACGTTGGAACTGTAGATCAAAAGGATAGATACCGGGATGATAGCCCCCAAACGAGAGGCCCTAAAGGTCGTTTACGAGATAAAATCTTTACGTCTAGAAAGGACTTGTTCAAGAGCGGCTCGAATACTTCATCATCTTCATCCTTATCGACTACGACTTCTGACTGTCAATCCAAGTTTAGTTTCCGTCTGGGTGGGAAAATGAGTGATAAGGAGGGGAGGAAATTCAAATGGTCCAAGCTTAATAAGAAGAACGAGAGTGTTGAATGTCAAGAATGTGAGTGCACAATAATAGTTGTCTTAGGCATCTAACTGGAATGAATATACTTTGAATGTCCTTGTTGATTTCCACCTCAGTTGCTCCCAAGAAGGCCTACTGCGCCGAAGCAGACATAGAGCCTTGCATGGCTCCAAGAACGAAGTGCAGTTGCTGCTCAGGATGTTCAAGGTGCTGTGTGTGCGAATCGAGAAATTCCTGTCCCGCTGAAGTTGATCCTGGCAAGTTTTTTAAGTACCATTATGCATTATGAGCCGAGAACTAGCTTGCCAACCACACTCGTGTCTCAGAGATATGTGCAAAGAGACAAAATTAGCTAACAAAGATAATTTTTTTGTGGACAATGTTTGAGAAGCTGGGACTATGGATATCCAATAATAATAATATTGCCAAAGATGACCACAAAACAATAGAGTAAGAGAGGTGAAAGAAGTATTTTGCCGTGTCCACAATTCATTAATTTTTCTAGCAATTCCCATTTGATAAGTTATGAAGCTTGATCCTTCAGAGGATCGAAGAGCCTATTATTCGTAGGTCTCCTCTGGAAAAGACATATTTGACGTAGGTTTCAAAGGCTGGCGCTGGGGTGAGTATTATCTGCTTCAAGGCAATTCATGTACCTTGGGCCGTTGAATCCCGTTTCTTGACGCTCAGGAAATGACAATTAGTGTTTAATACATTAAAAAAACTAAAAATGAAATATATAAGAGTTAAGTAAGCTCATTAGCTGTGTCTCAAAGACAATTAAACGCATAAAGAAAAGTATAACCTGCTCACAATTTTAACATTTTTTGTCTGTCTAATTATTTAATCTTTTCGATTTAGGTTGCCAAATGCCAAGTAAGTGGTTAAAAGTTGAATTTTCTTGCCTTAAACACGTCACCATTGTGTTCAAACCGAATTTAATTTATTGCAAAAAAACATTTGATCAACTATAGAAGGAGAATGCTGTATTAAAAAATTCTGCAAGAAAAAATGCTTCGGTATGTCACCACGTCAACTTCAAATTTTTGCCCATAAAAGAGTTTTATGCAATCCCTGTTTATTTTCAGTGCCGAAATGTGTTATGGTGCCTTGTGGAGGTAAAACGTTTAGAGTAGCAATGAAACCCACTATTTTATTATAATGTATTACATTTAAACATACGATTTTAGAATTAAAATGCTGTTCTAGTGGTTATGACGGACGTAAGTAATCGCACATACATTAATCCTTGCAGTTAAATAACGATACCGAAATTCCCTGTAGAAATCTCATCTTCATCTACAAATTTACCGCTTGTTTTGGCTGTTTTATCATTTTTTTTAGAGTTCGACGAAACCTGCGATTGTGACGAGCGTTTCGATAGACGATTCAATGGAGGATACGAGGATGAACTGCGAGGTAGACTGGTTGGTGATTGCGACGAAGAAATGAATGAAAACTATAACGATGAATTTGACCAAGGTCGCCGATCTAGTAGATTTTATGATGAAGGAGTGTGCAATGAGCAAGACACCAGTGCTAGAAGAAGGCGGCGTTTCAGTAGTGGCTATGATGAAAACCTCAATGCTGATTTCAACGGTGGTAGGAATAGAAGCCCTAGAAGCTATCGAAGGAGCGGAATGAACGCGCAAGTTAACAACGGCATGAATGATGTTTTTAACGGTGCGGAAGGAGTTGATATGAAAAGGAGGATTGGTATGAAAATGGCTAAGGGTGGCAATATGACGGGTCCAATGAAAGGAAATAGGGAAAGAGGAATGAGCACCTCTGCAGCAACCAACTGTCTCTCCGGTAGTTTGAATGCTCTGAATGAAGCACTTGGTGGAATTGTTAGCAAGCTGCCCCTCCTGAAACAAGGAATGGGAATGAATGCTGCTGCTGGTGGTGGTGGTGGAATCATGCCGGTGAATGGATTCAATTATGGATTTGGTGGCAATTCTATTGGTAATACTAGGCTTTCACAAGGAGGTTTTGTAGGGGGTCAAAATCTTCCAATGAGTACCAATTTTAGTGGAGTAGGTTTCGGTATGCGAAACAATTTCGGACCAACTGGAAGTTATGATGACAAATTTGGTGGATATGGTGGAAGTTTAGAAGAGATAAGAAATGCACAAGGAGGTAAGAACTACTTCTATCAAATAACGAAATTTTGCGCAAAGGGTATACTTCAGGTGAAGTTCAATATCCAAGTCAACCTAATTGGCCATTCGGAAATAATCGATCGAATTCGTTGCCTCCAGGAGGATATCGTGGAGGTGTGAGCTCGAACTTGAATATACCTGGAATTAATGATTTTGACTATGAGATTCAGTACATTGAACGTAAGTCTCATTATCAGTATTATTATATGCATCCCGATCATGGACCAAAACGACGTATGTTTTTCCTACAGCCGACATGAAGGAGTACAACCGCAAGGTGAGAGAAGCTGAAGAGAGAGCAGAAAGAAAGAGACAGGAACTAATCCGTCAGCGTGATGAAGAAGTTGCCAGAAAACGTGCTGAGATGGAGAAGCGAATAGAAGCGGAATATGAGAGAAGAAAAGCGGAAGCCAGACACCAGAGGGAAGCCGAGATTAGGGCAAGAATGTCACGTACGTTGTTATTAGAATTTGAAACCCATTTGAGCATTTGATATGATTTTCCTCTCCCCCCCATTGCAGAGGCTCAAGAGGACATCAAGAGGAAGGAGCAAATTATTACGCAGGCATTCAGTGAGCCTACAGATAAAAGCTTTCTTCTGAACAAGTCTAATATTGATTGATGATCCCACTTTTTTTCCATACAGCTCAAAAGCTGAAAGCTATTCGAGAGTTAGAAGCTAAAAGACGTATTCAATACGAAAGAGGTTGGTTATTTAATGCCAGCCATTGATTTAAGCGTTTAAGGAGGAGGGGATATATGCTTAAGCGTTCTCTTATTTTCATTAATAGCACTTGCAGAAGCGAACCAGCGAAGTCTCCCATTAAAACAACAATTTGGTACGTTTGCTGACTGGTGGCAATCCCCTAAACATCATTTCGTAAGTAGATTAAACAACTCAAATGTTACTTTGCAGCACTGGCACAGCGTCAGATCCAGGAACTGGAATTGTTCAAGACGCAAATTCAACAGCAAGGTAAAGTCCCCCCCCCCCCCCCCCCCGACTGTTCCCGGCCAATTTTGATGATAGATGATACTAACCGCTCCCTTTCACCCCTTTTCAGAAGTCGAACGCAGGCGTGTTTTGGATATGCTAAGTGTGACAATTTCCAATTTAAATTTTCTTGTTTTATTTCCTTGACTTTGGCGCTTATTCCTGTTCATTTAGCTAAACAACTTCAAGTTGTTTCATACATGCCGGCATATAAGAGCGATACTAGCAAGGAGAAAATTCTTTTGGCTGAGTTTTGCCACCGAATGTCAGCTATTAAAAGCCAGGAGAAGAAAATTTTGGAAGATGTTGGTAAGCGATATGCTCGCTTTGAAATGTGACGTCCGTTAAACTAGCAGCGAGCGCTTAATTCTCCTTTCTTCTAATTTTTAGCTAATATCCCATTGCCTCAGATCGAGAGACGTAAGTTGAGTTTAATTAAGTTATAAAAAATGGAAAGTCGATGGCTTACTAAATTGTAGGAACTAATGAACCAGAAAAGGAGGTTATGGAAGCTAAGTTCCTTGTTTATGGCTAACAACAACAGGAAGCCGTTCTAAAATTTTGATCACAAAGAGTCGTGGAGACGAACTTGTAATGAATAAACTACGATGAGGAAACGAGAAAAAGAGAGTGTGATAAATGACAGATTATGAGTCACTTTGGCAAGGATGCGTGTGAGGATGCGAATGTGAATGTACTTTAAAATGAAACGGAATAGTTATATATAAATTGGAAATCGATAAATCAGAGCCCAAATAAGTGCTTGAATTGGGGGGGGGGGGGCATAAAGGCTGTAGCGGCGGGCTGCACTATTAAGCCTGTGACTTATACTCAGCTATCTCTATGGCTAGAAACCCTAAGGTGGGATGCTTGCTAAGATTAACTGAGCTACCACAAAGCTATATGGAAAACAGACGTTTGGTGGGGTGATGTTATGTTTGGGTATATAGCGGTCGTGCGCTGCCCGTTGCGCTGTGTGTTGGGGTTATGTATTGACTGACAAGGAACATAGTCATTATGCACACTTTCAGATACGAGGACAACATAAGGACTTTGGTTAATGATTGATCGAGTTGTCTCCTCACCCTTGACCTCAATTGCTCTCTGGCGTGATTGACATCATATCCGCTACGTTTCAGAACGTTTGGTTGCTTATGTGGGTCTTCGTTTCAGCAATGCAAATGTGTTGCTTCGCATGGGCTATTACAGCAACTTGTAATTAAAAAAACAGAGTATTGACGTAGAGAATGTGTTTAAAGAATAATGTTGGCAAATATGTAGTCATTCTTCAAACGCTTCAAAGTTTACATATAAATATGAATTGCATCTATTGTTATTTATTTGTTATAGCCAAACTTCCACCGATACCCATTCGTGAGTTCTGCTTATAACTATTTCATAAAAATATTTTTTACATTTTAAATTTAAATCTATTTTAAATCTATTTAAATCTATTACTTTTAAGCCGAAATTCCGGAAGTTGTTCCAGGTAAATAACAATTCAAATCCATATTTACTCTCAACTACCTGCTTTATGAAAATTTTTATTACTGATATTCATTACGTTAGAACATGTTCCAATACCACAGAGGCAAATGATCAGAGTTCGTAAGTGACAGTTATAGACACTTTTTTACAAGAGTTAATTCGTGGTTATAAAAATTAAATTTGACCTTTTATATTTCTCCTATTTCAGCTAAGCAAAGGCGTAAGTCGACTAGAATTAATACACTTTCGTTTCGCCCTTTAAAGAATTCTCATTTATTCAAATATATACCTTTTACATAACTCAGTACCACTTCGAGTACCATCAATGCAAATTCCATCACCACCGCCATTGATGCCAACACCTCCGCCTATGGCACCACCAATGAGCTTTTGTCCTCCCTCCTACGGTGGAATGATGTTCTCATCTGCTGTAACACCATATCAGCCACAGCTCCAATATTCTCAACCACAACCGCCAAACTTTTGCAATCGTGAGTGAAAGTCATCACACAACAACTTATACCCAATTGCAGCGTCTTTTATTAAGATTGCGCTTTCGTCAATTTCAGCGGCGATTCCAATAATGCCCATGACACCAGGTGAGTGTTGCCCCTAGTCATCAAGTTGTTCAAGATGGGAAACTCTTGACCCTCTTTTGTTTGTGTACAGTTCCAATGTGCATTCCTACTGGTTGCTGCATGCCTTGCTCATCTTGCTGCAGGCCAGGTGGTTGTTGTACAATGCCATGCTGCAAACGTAAGTTTCAGTTATCTATGCCACTAATTTAATTTAAGTAGTATCGATCGAATAAAATTTTCTACCCTCCTAATGGGTCTTAATCTTCTGCCCTTAGCGTCAGCGTGTAGCAGTGGATTAAATGAATGTTAGTAAATCCATAATCTCAAATTATTTTATATATTTTCATAATTTTCTTATCTAATTCATATTTATTACTATTTTTGATAGGCGTTCCTTCAAACTGTTGCAAACGTAAGAGATTTACTCATAAATTAGAGAGACTTTATAAAGCTTAAAAATTCTATTTATTTTCCGTAATTTTTTCCTTATAGCAGCGAATAATGATTGTAAGTGACAAAGCCCCCTAATAATGCAAGACTATGTTTTTGCACACTTTCATTTTGTCTTCTTTGTTAACTCATGTAGGTAATCAATCGAAGTGCCCTAAACGTAAGATCACAAATCTAACTTTATGATAGCATTGCAATGATTGAGGATCTCAGAGTGCCATAATATTCCATTTTAGCATGTTGTGCGCCTGGATGTTGCCTAAAACCCAGTAAGTCTTGATTGAATTGATAATTTAATTTCGAAGGCAAAAGCTCTGCCAACCAGTGTTTGTAATACCCTTCACTTAATTATTGCTAAGAAAACATCGCCTTAGCAACAGAGTTTGGAAAAAAGGTACAAACAATGTAGGAGGTAAGAAACTCGCTAAATTTTGTGAATGAACAACAAGTACGCTATCAGACGACATCAACTAGAGAAGATTAACGAAAATTGGGAACTAACTAGAAGACAGCAAATGAAGCTAAATAGTAGATGTGGTAATCAGAGAAAATTAATAATCCGCTTGTAATCGAATCGAAACTGGCTTAAGTCATTTAGACACCAAAGGGTGGCATTTTACGCAGATTTTGTGATTTGACGAAATCTTCATAGGCCATTGCTTTCTCGATTTCAGGTAATTGCGCACCATCTAATCGTTGTAAACCTGCTGGAAGCTGTGGGCCATCGAAATGCTGCAAACCATCCAGATGTTTCTCCAGTAGGCTCCATCTTTAAACATTATTGTCAATAATTTACTAAAATGTGTCATTTACATACCTGCATTTTCTATTATAGCTTCGAGGTGCAAATCAGCTTGCTGTAAGTAAATTGGTACTCCTCTCTCTCCCCCTTAAATCCTTTCTAAAAAGATATAATAAGTTTTTGAATGTGCAAATAAATTCAGGCACAAGAAAAAAATGCTCGGACGATAGGGCCTGCAATGACACACCTAGCTGCGAGCCAGTGGAAAAGTGTGAAGAGGTAATACCCTGTGAGGAGAAGATTGAATGTGAGGAGACAAGGGAGAAGAGGTCACAGTCGGCAGATTCGAGATTGTTTAGCAGATGTATGAAAAGTAACGTATCTCAAACATTGAAACTTGCCATGGTTATAAATGCCATATAAGTACACTTTATTTCTGATTTAGAAAGCGAAGAAAGGGACGAATGTAGTGTGACAATTGACGGTGAGTTTATTTATAAATAATTTGCATTTTATAATTTACTGGCAACATTCCAATAATGCTTGTTTTTATCGTAGAACCTGTCGAAGAGAAATGCGAATCATAAGAAGAAATTAAATTACCTTAATAAAAACTGAACAAGTAGAAGCGCTTCGAACAAAACGCAAAACTTAATGAACAAATGAACTCCTAATTTATCTATTAATGATCAAATAAATTTATTTCTCTTCGGATTACATTTGTGTTCTGGGTTGTATTACGGGTAATGTCACCTGATATTTTGTAACTTTTCTTTCCTTTTTGTCACTTATGTTGATAACAATCCAAGCGCTGTAGAAAAGTCAATATTTGTGCTAAACATGTCGTACATGAAATGACAAGAAATATGATGTCCACAGGAGTCACTGCATACACTTAACTCTAATAAACTTAAAATGCCAATACGATAGATCTGTAGCAGAGTCCTCAAATACGAGTGATAAAAGAAAAGTGTTAGGTTTCGACTATAGAGTTTTGTGAACCAAGGAAATGTAATGGAGAGTAAGTCTTACAGAATATGCTTATTAATCACGTGAATAATCAACTAACCGATGCAAAAGTGTTAGTCGTTGATTGGCTAAGACTCCTTCCATGCACAAGCGTACAAATTCGACACATAATTGGTATCGACTTCGTGCCTCTCAGAATAGTCAAGCCCACGAAATCCTTACTATTAGTTTTAATGAAACTACACGTCAAATAAGTTGAAGGATTATATTGATGCAATAAGTTCTTGGACTTGAATATTCAAAGTCGAATATTACATTCAAAGATGATACTGTAATCAACTTTTAGTGAAAGTCTGGCCAAGAGTTTTTACGTAAGATGGGTGTAACTATTATATAGAAGAGGATTAAGGCGAACGAGATATGTAAGAAAAGTCTATCTTGCTATTATAAAAGACCATATGAAATTAAGAGGAAAGGAAAGCAGTTTAGCTTGATGTAATCTGCTACAGGAAAGCATGATTTTGAAGAATCAACATCAACCTTATCCATTAGATACCGAATATATGACGTTGTAATTGTGCATATATGAAATATAATATCAATTTACTCTTACCTATCTAGTATAGCAAATAGAATTCAGTAAAGTTAATTTGGCATTAAAGCCTCCATCAGTTCGAACTGAGTGGAATTTCATTTTCATTCTGAGTCTGGACTTCGAGGTTTCTTGAACATGAAATAAGGAAATAACGAACCGTCCGGTATTAAAAATGTATATTTATTTTTGGAAAATGGTCATTAAGTATGCTACATTAACAAAAATTATTTTTATTTGTCATAAAGCGACGTATTGGGGAACTGGGCAGTCACTAAATTCTCCAACGCAGTTGATATGTAGCCTGGGAAGCAGCATAATATATGTTAAAGATAGGTTTATCACAAGTTAAATAAAATAAATAACTATTTATTCTAAAATGAATCCAATAATTTATTATGGCTAGTTATTTCTAAACTCTATAAAAGTAAAACTATGATTTCAATCATTTCTTATAATATTGTTTAAAGAAACTACATTATGTGACCTTGAATGTGTCATCTGTTCTGCCTATAAAGAGCGTAATCTAACAAGGTCGTCTTAAAGTCTTTAGTTTTCTTTTCGATTTTCTTAGGTTAATGAAATTTCGTACGTTAAATTTTGTTCCCAGCTCCACTAATATATACAATTCGTTTATTCGTAAACGACTATAAATATTAGACAGTTTTCATGATCATTATTTGTTGTTATATTATTATCCATAATATCATTTTGTATTTTTATGTATGAATAATTTGAAAATAAAATGCAATCGCTATGGAAATAAGTCCTTTTTTATTCATTTTATTTTTTTATAAGTACCCTATGAAAGTATTTTTGGCCGGCCTGGTAAATCAAGTTTACCCATACTCTATTTTTAGGTATTTGCTAATTATGGATCATTATCCTCAATCTACCGTAATTATCAATCCATTATCAACCTCCATTCGAACTCAAGAATGCGTTTCTTACATTCGCGATGATGATGTCGTTCATCCAGCTGAAGGCTACTATCAAAAACATGTTCGTTCCCCTCCTCCACCCCCTATTACGCGTTACTCGGATGGACTCTCACGTCCTCATAATCTTAGTCTCCAAGTTGAAACCCCAGACGAAGTGTTTACCGAACCTCGAAGTCAAAACTATTTATATGAGGGGAATATCGCTTATGTTAAGCCTATGACCCGCCAAATAATCACTTCACCAATTGAGGGCCCTATGAAGTACACAAATGGACAGGATGAATTTCTCATATTCGGCACATCTCGACGCCTACGAAGTGAGTTCTATGATGAAATAGCGAAGGAGGAAGAGTTAAATCTTCGTGAGCGGAAAATCGCCGAACGAGAAGCTGAGCTACAAAAACAAATTGAAGAGGAAGAGAGAAGAAGAATGGAGAGATCTAGAGAGTTGGAAAAAGTGGCTTTCATTGATGATGGAGGTGATGCATACGACGAAGAAATAATAGAAGATATTATTACTACACGTCGTAAACCTACAGTGGTTTCTCCAACTGTAGCTTTTTCTTCAGAAGCTTCTAGAACTATGACTTCAGTCGGGGTTGGTGATGCGGATGTTAATCAGTACTTTCTTCTAGATACTGGTTCCAGATCTGTGAATCCGGCTGACTTTCCCCCTGTTTACTGGGAGCGTTTGAGTCGATATTTCACAGAGGAAATTAAGAGAAGGCGTCCATCTTGTAGAGATGTTTCTGTTCAGTTGACTCCCATTAAGCAAAGAACTGTCTCTCAATCCGCATACAGCAAGGATTTGAAGTCTTTTCGAAATTTTGGGGTTTGCGTCAAACCAATAACATTGAATCGCGGATTTACAACCGACGCTGCAACATCTCCCAACAAGAGGAATTCGGCTTGCATGACCGATGATTTGGAAGAATACTTTGCTCGTCTTTTACAAAAAATCTGCACAGATTACCCAAATGCTGATAAGACCTTTATCACAAATCTTTATCGATATAGTCATACAGACATCTCATTGTTTATTCGCCGTTTACTTGAACGTCTGGAGGAGTTGAGAAATGTAGAAAGGCCTATAGTTTCCGCTAAACAGCCAATGCACTCAGTTGGCTTGGATGTTCGTCCAATGATGCTACATAAACGTACATTATCTGAACCTCCAGTAAGACGAAATCTTGGAACGAATACAGAACAGGTACTTTGCAGAACACAGGGTATAGCTACACCTAGAGCCACTTCACCGGCAACTTCTGACTTTGGTGGAGCTACCGACCATATTCGACACATGGAAACTGGTAGTCAGACCAAGGTACCTGAAGCGATGGTAGCACCGTCTTCTGCCTCGAAAGCCGGTGAAAAGATTGAAACTGAAACTCACAAAGTAACAACTTATCACATTAAGCGTGTGTCGGGACATATTGACAAGGAAGGCAAGGTGTCTTCCAAGACGTTTGAGACTAGTGGAGAAGGGAAACCGCCACCCAGCTCTCTCATGGAATCTATGAGGGATATTGTCAAGGATACCAAAAAGGTGAGTTATCCTTTTGCTAATCGCAGAATAAGGTCTCTAGAGATATTCTTTAGAGGAGGGGATTGATGAGGGAAGTTGGTCGTAATTGTTCATATTTTCAATTACTGATACCGTGCGTTGAAGGGGCAAAGATTTATGGGCTCATCTGTAAGGTTGATGGTCACGGGTTCGATGCCCATCTGGCTTATTTGGGGGGTGGGGGGGGGGTAGTGGAAGCTAATTTTCTCTTCATGTCGGCTCCAATATGCTATTTCAAAATAAGAGCTGGAAGATGGGCATTTCACTGTGGACTTGAAAACTTTTATTATAATTTAATTATATTGTTATACCAATTTTGGCACGATTTTGGATGAGAGATTATTAATCAATTTATTCAACGTCAATTCACTCGGGAGTTTTCCACTCTCCAAAGCCACATTTGTCACGTGGTCGTCATGTAACATGTGCATCGCTTATAATCGACTTGAACTCTTGCTATTACTTTCTATTGGTCAGGAAAGTATTTATTTATAACAAATGGCGGGCGGTTTGATAGTTATCATTAACCCTTTAGTTGACTCCGGGCTTCACAGAGGGGAGGAGGAACATTAAAGTGAGAAGAATCCGGGAGGGGGAACAGAAGAGTGATTTACAGATGTAAAAGAAACAGACAGACACAAAGGCTCAGAAAGGGTAAGATGAGTACTGTGGTAGGGGTCAAATATGACATACAGTGGGGGTAATGGTAGTTTGAAGTGAGAAGTCAACTGCCGGTTAATAGACTTTTTTTGCCGTATGATTATACGTTGCCCAGGGTGCACCACGAGGAGGTAAGTCTATCGCACACCCATGGTCAGGAAAGTGATTCATTCACTTCATTGTGTTTTTGAGCTTCATCTGTCATTTAAAATCCGTTGGATTGGTGTATTCCAATTCACTTGGAAGAGTTCGCACCTTATTCCAGTATTTAATGCGTTGTCGTTTGTTACTCGACTCAAATAGCTGATACTGCAATTGCTATTATCGAGGTTGTTATTAAGTTGAAATTGAAAATACGTTGCGTCTGGTCTACACTAGGTTTAATGCTGCATTGATGATGCAATCTTGAAAATATGAAGAAAACTCTTTTTAATAACACTTAAATCTGTCACACCACTTTTTAATTAAATTTAAATTTTAGGCAGACATTTTTAACTAAAGATAGTTGTTGATCCAATTGAGCAACTTTGGAAATGATAACTATTTTTTTCTAAGGAAAAATCTATTCTTGCTCCCATTTTTCTCCTTTATATAATTTAATTGAATCAGTTAACCTCGCCCCCCTCCCCACTTTAATTATCCTATCCACTTACAGAATTATGCGATTATATTTTAATAAGGTTTCCTTTTATCACTGATAGGGAAATTGGAAAAGTTAATCGGTTTGAGATACTAACCAAATTATAGCTTTCTACCGATGACAATGAGAAATGCTTATTTTCGAGCTTTAATTATGGGATAGTATTTCAGACGATGATATGGCAGATGGTTCAACAATTGACTAAGCGCAGAAGAGGGTGTTTATACTGTAGTCTTAACACTGACAGCGCTGTTCTATCCGCTTTCAATGTCCAAGTGCTCCTCAGGCAAATTTTTCACTAAGTTGCCTGAGTCATTGGGCTTGGGGGTGGGGGTGGGGGTGAGTGGTGGGGTGGGGGGGGGGGGGAAGAGAATTCCTCGATAATTGATCAGTAAAAGTCTTTCTTTTATTAACGCACATTTTAATTAAGCTTGTAGCATATATTTTTTCCATGCAGTGGTGGTGAGCATTACACTTAGCCAAAAAATTAATTAGATGAATAAATTAGAGCTATCTTCTTCAATTTATTTCATAGTGTAATGCGTTATTTATCTCATATGTGTTTGTAATGATCCATTTTCCCTATTTTTAACGTGGGATTTTTTCGTCATTTTTCTACACATTATAAGACGATTGCAAACGAAATGAGTAATATTCCTTTTTTGTGACAGTAATAAGACGAGGGAAGTATTTAAAACGCACCCAATTTCCTTGCCTTTTCAGGAACCGTTAGATCTAAAATGAAACAATTGATATCAAAATAGGGGAATGTTTTTATTTGAACTAGTGAAGTATAGATGCCAGGCAAATGCCTCATTTAAATATATTTAGAACCTTGCATATAACTACTAATGGAATAGGGTATAAATGTTGAAGTGACATGAAGTGGATCAGATATTGCCTTGAGAACGACTTAACTCACACCCATGCGTCTGCACTCCAGTTTCCCTCTTTACGCCATATGACACCTTGAGTAATGGGCGCACATTGGCTAACTCCAAGTGACCTGAGTAACGGGGTTTAATTGAGAAATATTTATGCAATACTGTGAGATATGCGTGTTCGAACACAAACAGCGGGGTTGAGAAGGGAATATGAGTACACCGGAAGTCCAACGCGGCTCGTGTTTCATTGGCATCTCCTTTGAGCATTTAGGTAATCATAAAATCTTTAAAGTAAACTCATTCTATTACCCATTAATTCATTAGCGTATATAAACTTGCCTCGTCATAGCATGTGTATAGGGTGATGGGAATAGATTTTAACAAATAATGCACGATCACACACACACACACACAATGTGCTCCCTTTAGAATTTTAAACCATTTTTAAGTTATTAAATTCATTAAAAAGAGAATAGATGACTCAAAACCATCTGAATCAAGGGAGGGAGGGAATAACTTGCATCATGATTGGCCAAAATCATCAAAATTAGGAGATTATGGTCGCTGTTCAATGCTCTCTTAACACCATGAAGACAATCTAAAGTGGTGTGAGAATTGCAATGGAGATTGCAAGACTGCTGTAAATGTTATAAACCAACACATCAGTCGATTTGGTTTGGGAGCGGGAGTGGGTGGGGGCGGGGGTGGTCGGCTCTCACACAGCTCTGAGATAACGGAAAGTGCTTGATAACCCCAACATTGAAATCCAGTGTATGTTGATTGAATGTTTCAGCCACCACCACGAAACTTGCACTCACTGAAGATCTTCAATATCACAAGCTCATACAAACGTCACAGAAGTGAGCTTTTTACCAATTCCATTAAAAATCATCCACTGAGTAAGGTAAGGAAACCTCCAAGCAAAGTGAACCATCCTGGTAAAGAATTAGCAATCTGGTACTTTTCTGATGGGGGGTGGTGGAGAGCTTTTGACAAAATCAAAAGCACAGCACATGGAATAATTGATGATTTGGTTTGCATACAGTCCAATGAGCGTCCCTCGAGTTATGCAGATTTAATTTGTCAAAACTGACCTCGACCGAGAGTAATGCGATGCCTTCTTCCACATTACTTAAATATGGGCTTACGTTGGATGCAGATGCCTATATAGAATTGTTGATTACGATGACTGTTAAGCTCTTGTTAAGCGGCTTGATGTCAATGTACTAAAAGCTGTTGAGATGGACACTAATCACATCGCCAGTGCTATAATACCTAACTAATTATTGGACAGCATGGGGAAAAAAACTATTCGACTCTATTCTAATGGAAAGTTACATTCAACTTTCCACGGGTTCGCTATCTGGGGCTGGTTCCGGGTCCAGATTGTGGCTGTCATCAACGTCGATTGCTTTTAACTTGACTAAAACTCTTATATCTATGTCATTTCCCTGTCTATTGAATTAATTTTAAGTCTATTGAGTGTTTTAGTATCCAACCGCTTCTTCTTTTTCCAGATGTGATTGTTAAACTTATGTGTGTGTGTATGTGTTTGAATTTAAACAAAAAGCGTTGAAAGATGGAATGAGTCATTGCAAGGTCTAGTAGGCGATGCCAGTTGAACATCACGTGTACAATAAAGAGGAAAGTACGTTGATGAACACTGAAATTAATGATGAACAAGTGTGCAAAGTCAATTGAGTGGTTAATTCAATGAATTTAAGGTCATTATTTCAAAATTCATGTACAAACACGCTAAGTGTACAAGGCAGCAACTTCAATCGTCCATAATAATCCTCAGACTCCGGATGCCCTATCTCTCATTATTGACCTCCATACGGTTCCTCTATCATGCTTCTAAGTTGCCTTTCTTTATGCAAGCTTAACTTACGGAATTACTGAGGAATTGTGGCAATTGGCAAGTGGCTTCTCATTTTCACTTACTGCCGACAAAAAAGAACGACGCAGTTTTTCACACCTAGTATGTGTACTGCAAACTGCGCATTGCGCCTTTCTCTAAGATCGTCATGTGCAAATCAAGCATTCGTTGTCGACTCAAAATTTTTGCTAGTTTACGAGTGCGTGTGCCTACACTGAAATCCGAGTTGAGGTCAAATTCGACACCTCTAGCACGCGGCTGAGTGTGAATTTCGTGTTTCTCCTACTATCCCCGAATAATTGGAACAGATATGCTTGGTTCCAACTATCGTCCATGTATATACTACGTTGGGATGGGCTTGATTATCTAATCTAACTAACTTTTGTTACTGGTAGTGTTTACTTTCTTTCCCTTATCAAGCAAATTAGAACTAATTTGCGCCGTAATCGACGAAAAAAACGGACATTTGCATAAAGCAATTCCTACTCTCCACTCATCCACTAAATGAGTTAATTTTCTTTAAACGTATTAAATAAAAATGGGGCCACTTTTTTTGAAATCGAAATCTCCATTTCCGATTTCACTTAATATCTCGTCACTTTTTTTAAATTGTAGTCTTAACAGCAACATATTTCTCAGTCCAATGAGTATCCTTTAATGACAATATCGATTTACTAGTCATTTTTGATCTAGTAATTAACTCTTTTTTATATAAAAATGGCCATATTATCATGTGGAATCGGTTTGAAGAGTATTATTTGCTGTAAATGGGGAGTACGTGGATCAGAAATCGAGATGGTCTACTAATTTAGTTGGCACCACATATCGCCACCTGATCAGATTTGAAAATAGCGTGAGCAAATGCTCATGTTTGGATTTTAGAGATTAGATTAGATTTATAGGCCCCACGGTATGTCATATTCGACCCCTTCCACAGTAATCATCTCACCTTTTCCTCTACCTTTGTGTCTGTCTCTTTTATATCTTTGAAACATTCTTCTGTTCCCTCCCCCCTTTCGATTTTTTGCCACTCTGATGTTCCTCCTCCTCCGTGAAGCCTAAAGTCAGCCAAAGGGGTAATGATATCTATTAAAATGTCTTTCATTTGATATAAATATTCTGTTTAAAGCTAAGGTGTGCCCTACACTAATTTCAATTCTTAGGACTTTGGATAGGAGTTGCTTTTAGGATAACAGCGAGATTTGGACTTCTTTTAAAGCAATGAGAGTAGATGAGGAGATACCAACTTGTTCTTTGACTATTTAGGCAAATTAAGAGGAAATTCAGGTCTAACCTGCCTCTCTTTGACTTTGTTTACAGCCAGTGGATAGTCGACCATCACGCAATCGACCTAATTCGGAGTCTCATTCGCATTACTACACTGGAACTACCTTAACAGAGACGTGGTTTGACAAAGACACACCTTTCAAAAGCCGAATGAGTCCACCTTCAGGCCAAGTATCTCCGCGGCTACAGACATCCCCCACACCTTCGGCTGAACATGTTCCGGGGGGCTATTCGCGAACTGTGGAGGTAGCACGATCACCTGGCTTTACAACTACTGAGGAGACAGATGGAATGTCCACACTACAGTATCAACAGTTCAGAAGAACGCCTGTTCAAAGGTAATTAGAGTTAATTTTTTATGGACCCGCATTTTGTTATTCATAATTTCGAATACTCGTTAGAAATTAAACTCATTCAACCTATTTTAATTGCCTGCAGACTAGTTGCCATCATGATGGGGTTACCACATAAGGAATTCTCACTTTTTAAGTTCCGAGAAAATATAATTAGAAATTAGCCAGAAAGATGGCATGAGAGTCATTGTTGCCAATGTGTTAAGCTCATCATTTTCGTAGATTGCGAACTGGAAACAATATGTCGTACCCAAAGTAAGAGCTATTCAGTTTGTGGGAGTTGCGTACCTGCAACATGCTAATTAACCACTTACCTTCAAAGTCTTTATTGATTCTACATAATCAATACCTAGTTAGGACTTGGGTCTAAATTTTGTTTAAACTGATTCTATCAACAATTTGTCCAATAGGTTTTCAGTGCAGGAGTCCGTTGCCAATGATTGTATTTATTTTAGAAAATATTATTTATATCAAATGGCAGCCGTTTTGAGAGTTATCATTGGCCCTTTAGTTGACTTCAGGTTTCGCAGAGGAGAAGGAAAATCAAAGTGAAAAAAAGTCGAGAGGGGGGGGGGACAGAAGAGTGCTTTAAAGATGCAAAAGAAACAGACAGACACAAGGGTAGAGAAGAAGGTGAGGTAAGTATTGTTGAAGTAGTGGAATATGACATAGAGTGGGGTGATGGTAGTTTGAAGTCAGAAGCCAACTGCCAGTTAATAGACTTTTTTGTCGTATGAATATACGTTGCCCAGGGTGCACCACGTGGAGGTAAGTCTATCGCGCACCCCATTTTAGAAAATATAAAATTTTAAAAACGAAAAAAAAGACATCTAAAGAATTTCTTTAAATATATTACAAAAATGTTTGGAGAAATGCAATTATTGTAGTCTTTTTTGAAATTTAAGGGAATTGTCATTTTTCTTAGTTGCCATCCTAGCCTGAAACTGTATAGAAAGAAAAATGCTATCAGTATATTTTTCAGGAATGAGAACAGTACCCGATTATATTATTTATTTATTTACTTCAAATGGCAGGCATGTTGATAGCTGTCATTAGTCATTTAGCTGACGTCGGGCTTCACAGATAGAAGGAGGGGGAACGTCAAAGTGACAAAAAATAGATGCTCTAACATGTCATCCCAACGCAGACTTTCGCACCGTTTGTTTGCAGGACTCCTACTAAGTAGAGGAGTACTATCATGGAGTCTCAATGGTGGAAATTTCAAATTTCATCAAGTATTTTATTGTTTAAATATTGCAATTGGCGATGCGGTCCGCGGAATTTGAATCTGTGGCCACTATTTTTACAGTCTAGGACATTTATTCATAGATTATTTATGCTAGCTTTTTATTTTCTTTAAGCATTTTTAACGATATAAACAACTGACAAGCAATAATTAACTTAAAATTAATTTGCTAGATATTTAACTTTTACCTAATAGAAATAGAGTGTACAACTTCGCAAACACTGGTAGTATTTTATTGTTTGCCAAAGCCCTCGTGTCCAACGTTACATCTTATTAACTAAGTATGCATCTAATTTCTATTCATTTCGAGTATAAAGCAGAATTGTACTAAGTGTTGTTGCAAACCACCTGAAATTTAAATAATCGAAGTAATCTACTGAATGTGGATTTCAGTAGTCGCTATGCATAATGCGAGTTTATATTTTTTTGTAGAACCAAGAGTCCTAGTTTAGGAGTGCCCCATACCTACCGCTCCGACTCTCCAAACATTCCTCTACGCAACTACACGTATGTATCACCTCTTTTTGAATAAGTATCCCCCTTTACTTAATTTTCAACTTAATTATGAATTGATATTGTTTCATTCGCAGATACAAAGTCACAGTTGAGATGCGAAAGGCTGTTGAGGCTTTGAGTAGCTTTTACATGACCTCATCTACTGGCACACTAACGGATGACCTTGTAAGAAAATTCCACTCTGAAAATGTACAATCGCTTTATTTTATACTGCTCCTTTCTATGGGGGCGGTAAGTGGTGTCTGCCAATAGGATTTCATTTAACTGATTTTGCCTAAAGTTTAAAACAACATTTCACAAACTTGTTGAAGTTCAAAAGAAGGGAGAAATTTTAAAGGGAAGTTGATTTTTCTCTACCGATTACTCACGGCTATCGGTAATTATTTTGCCATAGACTACGGTTTGAAGTATTTTTGACACCCTGAGTAGAACTCATAACTTTTGTGAACTCTGCCCTCTAATCAAGTAGTTGGCACATCGATATCTCTTTTTCTCCATTTTCGTCTCTAGTAGTTAAGTTTCTTCTTTCTTTCTAAACAGGCTGCTAATCATTCTCAAAAATCGTGAAATTATGCATAACCAAGCTTTCTTAATTTTCCAACTATATATAGACATCTATTGCGGCTAGACTCATTCTTCGAGTCTAGACGATTGCCAGAAAATGAGATCCTGGGATACCTACAATTGGTGGTGAGGTCAAGTAGAAGAGATTGAAATGTGTACAGGATTAAATCAGCTTTTCATGTATTGGAGAGAAGTGATTTAAGGAGAAACTTGGTCCATTAAACTATAAGGCAATCGCTAACTTATTGTATTAGTCCTACAAGTGATTTTACTTAGCAAATCCACACAAATTTTACGCCTTTCAATCCATTCATCATTTTGGACTCAACTTAAATCGATAAATTTAGTAAAATTGAAGGGTTAACGCACTCTTACACATTTGTTAACTTGGTAGAAGTATAATTAAAGGGAAGTGAAAAGGGCTTCCAATACGTGTATTGTGGCCGAATTGCGCATTGAAAAATTCTTTTAAGCTATATTTTTATTTTTTACGCATTTGCTTTTCCTTCGTCAATTTTAGCAAGGCCACTTGGAGGTCGTGCGCAAAGCTTGGTTCGAAATGGTAAGCAAAACTAATATCGATCTCGAACAGATTGAGGACTTGTTCGCCTTCCTCTATAACAGCGCACCTCAACTCCTCTACCTCTTCATTCGAATGCCGACTACTCGGGTAAGACAACACCTTTTTTCGTCTTGAGCGTTGTTTAACCGTAACAAACGCCCTCCCCCCCCTCTCCACCGTTCTTATCATTTTGGAAAGAACACAGTATTCTAGGCCCTTAGTATATCGTACCTAGTCACTCTGAGGCACAACAACATTAGTGTGACCGCCTGACCTCTGTCGTGAAATGCGTCTCGTTTGTGTACCTAAGCGATTGCAATTGACTTGCACTTCACTAAGATACCGATCAGCAAAAGGAATTTTTGTTACCTCCGGTCTCTACATGCTAGTGTAAATAAATTTACAATACATTTGATGTACTCTATGTAATTCACTTTTGGGGATTCAGCCGGATAGATTTCATCCTTTAATTTCCCATCACTGGGTTTTAGGTCGCAATTTCAGTGAAACGAATGAATCAGGCATTTTGGCCTCGCGTTGAAATATAATACATCGTTGTAAGAGCATAATTGGATTATGTTAATCTTAATTGCAATAGCAATATACGTACATGCCATTCATACTTGAAACTAACTAGGTACCGTAATTATAGAAACTCGGTCTCATTAGTGATTGTAGTAATGCAAGAGCTTTTTGTTTATTTATATATTTATCACAAATTGCAGGCGTTTTGATAGTTACCATTGGCCCTTTAGCTGACTTCGGAGGAACATCAAAATGACAAAAGCTCGAGAGAGGAAATAAAAGAGTGATTCACAGACGTTAAAGAGACAGACAGACAGACACAAAAACAGAGAAAAAGTAAGATGAGTACTGTGGAAGGGGTCGAATATGACATACACTGGGGTCATGATAGTTTGAAGTGAGAAGTCAACTGCAGGTTAATAGACTTTTTTGGCGTATGAGTATACTTTGCCCAGGGTGCACCGCGTGGAGGTAAGTAAATTATTATGACTGTCAATCAACTGACAGAGAATAACATCACTTCAAGCAAAGTATAAAAGACAGGGCTCGAAGCGGAACCGAGACCACCGTCAAGGTATCAGCAACCTCCTTTTCGGTCTTGGGCTGTACAGTGTTAACTAAATGGTCAGTTCACATTCCGATAATTAAGTTTCCCCAATTCGTGTCCTGCATTTGGGCTAATGCTTGCCAATAGGGTATATTGCTTTTTTGGGCAGTATTTCTTAATTCAGAAGGCTTGATATGGCTGCTTCATTGCCTCTTTCCTTTGCATGATTGAGAAGCCAAATTAATCTAATCTGATAATTAGAAGCTCAAAATCTTATTACAGCCCAGATGAGGCAATTAAAAGTTAAAGTTCCCTTAATCGCTGTAAGATGTGTTCAATCAGGACGCAAATTGTTAATTCAATTGTAACAGCAAGAGCAATAATATTATGCCTGTTAATTCGATTATAAGCCGAAGGAATTATGGAACATTAATCCTGGGAGGTGGGGAAGGGAACGCCAATTTTCAGGTCAAATGTTATTTTTGAAGGAAATAGGCAATTTTTTAATCAAAATTCCTCAATTGGAGTGGCAACATACTCTTTTACTTTTTTAAGAGTTCATTACTATAATATTTCCAAGTGCTCAAATGCTGTCTATTGCGGTATATCTGAATTCGAAGGGCTTGAATTGCCAAATAAAGTTTTTCTTTATTACTTAAACCAGGTGATGTTAAGTTTATAAGTAGTACCAAGGAAATTAATTGTAGAATACAATAATGTATTAAATAAAAGAACAGACTATAATGAAATCATGGCTTAAACAGGAGGTACATACTGTGTGGGGGTACACACGCAAGAGCTGACAGGCAGTCGCACATGAAAGTACATAATGGGAGGAAGACAGACATTATACACCCAAATCAATTGTATTTATTTATTTATTTATTTATATCAATTGGCAGGCGTTCCGATAGTTATCATTAGCCCTTTAGTTGACTTCAGGCTTCACAGAGGGGAAGGAACATTAAAGTGAAAAAAAAGTCGAGAGGGAGGGGGGACAGAAGAGTGCTGCAAAGACGAAGGTAGAAAAAAGGTGAGGTGAGTACTGTGGAAGTAGTCGAATATGGCATACAGTGGGATCATGGCAGTTTGAAGTCAGAAGTCAGCTGCCCATTGATAGACTTTTTTGCCGTATGAACATACGTTGCCTAGGGTGCATCACGTGGAGGTAAGTCTATCGCACACCCTCCAAATCAATTGTAAATAGGAATAGAGACCACACATATGATTAAATAAATAGAAATAGTGGAAGTAGGGGGGGGG